CAGAGCTTTCTCCTGGGAGTCAGTCTGCGCAGCCAGTAGTTTTGCAAAAAGGAGATTCTTCTTGCGTTCAAGTTTCACCACCTCCGCAGGGTATTTCAAATTAAACTGCAGAGCCTGACGCGTGACAGGTTCAAGGTGGTCTGTAGCATCAATGGGGTGTTTAAGCTCCTTTGCACGACTGAGAAACTGTTTGGGGGTGTGGTATACACCAACCTTCACAAACTTCCGCACGCCCTCATCTGACTGCTGTCCATCTGTTTCTGTCTGAAGCTCCTCCCGACTATCACCCCCTAAATGAGGAGCCAGAAATTTAGTTCCTTGTTGTTGCGGTTCAGAGGCAAGCTGCTTGGAGAAATGATGAAATTCTGGTATCAGCTGAGAGTGACGTCCTTGGGCAGCTGTTGCCAAATCATGGAGTCTTGGAGGCGCCTGCAAAGAAAGCTGGCGCTGAGCTACCACCTTCAGCATGCACTGAACTGCGCGCTGTGCCAGTAATGCCGGATAGGCGGCCTCAGCTGAAGTGTCAAAAACCCAAGCGCCTGCAGCCCAGTGAATGCCCCATGGCTCATGCACATGGTCATTTTGACATGTAGCTTCCAGATCTGTATATACTCCTGCAGTACCAAGCCATCCAGTTGCCTTGCGGCGTGTAGACCCATGGCAGCATGCATGGAAAATGACCTTCTCCAAAGCATTATAGGCCTCTGCTGCAGCTGTTGAGTGCTCCAAAGATAGCTTGACCAAAGCCGCCCAAAGCCAGCTGTTTGCTGGGTTCTCCACACTGACAATGATTTGTCGGCGCTTGCAAAACAAAATTATGTCAATGGCCAGCTTGTACAAAATGTTTGCACTGTCCACCTTGGCACGGTGGTTGTCACTCATGTTTGGAAGCCCAAGAGGGAACATCGCCGAACGTAACGGCGGCGGGTTTGGAGCTCCTTGTGCACGTAGAGCTTCAGAAACTGGCCTTTCACGGGCCAGGCTAGCTGTTCCGCAAGGTAATCCCAGGTGGATCCCCAACAAGTTTGGAGACTGCAGTATATCCCAAAGGATCGCTTGTCCAGAAGAGGTTGTTAAATCCAATGTAATCATAGGAACCACCGCTTTGCTGCCATCATGGTCTATGCTCAAAACTGAAAAACCCGCCTGTGTAAACGCGCGAGAAAGGGACCCTCGTCCCGCAAAAATCTCCACAAATAATGGAACATTTGAATTTTGCACCAGTGAAACGCCCTCCGGACCCCTTCAGTCTGAATGGTTGCATAGGTAATACGGCTTTGGCCGATAGCAACCTTTCTTGTAGCACTTGTGATATCCACGAGCGCACCGTTTTCCCGGGGCCCCTTTGAACTTGCACTTGCCTGACTGGTAGGCAAAGCAAAGGGGCCGCTTGTCATCATCATGTGTGACACAGCCATCTGGTAGCTGTGCACGTGGTCCAGGGCCTCCTGAGCCGCCTTTGCCTTTGCCCTTTGAGGGCTGCTCTGTTCGCGCCACCTTTGAAGGCCTGCTGTCTGCTGAAGGCGGAGGGTCATGAGCTCGGTGTGAAGGCAGCGGCGTGAGATACTGCAAAATTTCTGTGGCGTCCTTCAACTTCAACAACGTTTCGTCCAAAGGTTTCTTCCCTTGGGGGTCAGCTGACAGTCGCCCCATGGTGATATGGGAGGCTTGAATGAAGAGCGGCTTGTCACAATCCAGAAGCTGCTGGAGGGTGATCTTGGAGAAACCTTTTGGCTGTTCTCGCAGTAGCTGGGTAAAGAGGAATTGGGTCCAGCATTCTGTAACATCAAAGGAGGCCAGTCCGGCCAGGTCCATTGCTAAATTCCTCCTCTGCCATGCCGCTCTAAGTTTGAGCTCTGTGTTGGCCTCACAAGTCGGGTCAGAGCTCTTTGCCCCCAACTTAAGGAGCCCAGCTGCATCGGTGGATACTGAGGGATCCTTCTTGACCATCTCAACTTCTTGAGCACGATTGCAACAAGCTTCTGGTTTCACATATACCAGTATTCCTGTTTCAATCATATCAACGAACAAGTCCACCAAGTGATTCGACGGTATTGTCGTCGGATTGAACACCAGTCCTCCTAGGCGACCTTCTTGAGCTTTCTGCCTGGCAATTCTTTCTGCCGTAGGCAACTTCCGAGTTGGTACCCCAGGATCAGGGTTACTTTCTGCTCTCTGCCTCACATCCGTGAGAGCCATGGTGTGACTCTCGAAGAATAACCGTCTGAGAGACGACATCTGATCGCTGCTAGGCTCTTCGTCCAAAAGCTTTGTCATGAACTCACGCAAAGGAGTCTCATCAGCACTGCTAGGAGAATACGAAAAACCAAATGCAAATTTGCCAAATGTCGCAAATCGCTTCTCTCTGATTTTGTCAACCACCCATGATTCCAGCCCAACCTGCTTTGCGCGGTCAGTAAATGCAGCTTCTGAATCCAAGGTCGATGACATCACGGCTCAGCAACGGAAAAATTCCGCTAGCTTTGGTTGTAAATAAAATCATGTTCAACGTATTCACCTGAAACTCAGTACAAGTATAAAAAAATCTTTGCATGCAAAATTTTACTTCAATGCACAATGTGTCCAATGGCCCAACATGTTGTGCACTGCAAGAAAGAGCTTTTAAAACTGATCATTGCGCTTTTGGTCACAAAACCTTTCTTCTAACGTCCAGACCTTTCAGCTACCTCTGAGCTTTGACAAGCCACGGAATGCTGGTTTTCCGCTGCCACAACTCCACAAGGTAACTGCAAGTCCAATGTCTTTAATCTCATGTCCCGTGGGTTTGTTGGATCACTCTGATGTGAAACTCCCACAACATGAGTTTGACTGCTTCTGCAAAGTTTGCGTTTTGTTTCACAACGTTTGGTTTTGTCAGACAAGATGATTTCGATTCATCAAACCAAACCTCTACCTAACAATCTATACAATGCCACTACAAAATTTATGAAACAGGCCCCAACAGTCAAACAGGTGAGAAACTCTTGCATTGACACACTGATGCAAAGAAAAATGAGATGGACAATCAATCGACGCTCGGTTGCGCCAAAGTCTTTTCCTCTTGCATCACTCAAGATTTGCTAAGGTCAGCGCTCTAACAGGTCAATGCTGAAAAGAGTTCCTGCATTGTCGGCATCCTTCACACAGGTCACGGTCTCTGGTCATTCGACTGTACTGCATGAAATTCACTGAGGGCCTCCGGCCACAAACAAGAAAACCATCTTCATTCATGGCATGAACAAGTTTGAATACTTTGTGCACCATCAACGCTGCTTCAGGTACCCCAGGAAAATCTGGGAAGAGCGAGGTCAAACCCATGTCCTCACCCAAGCCTGGTTCACAGCACTCTTCACCAGCTGCGCCACAATCAGAAGCCACACTGGATTCTGAATCACTGTCACATGCATCAGCAACTGAAGTGTCAACACCAGCTGTCTGCGGTTCTTCTGCAGCCGTTTCTGAGAGCTGGACAACGCGGTCAATGGCCGGTAAATCCGGATTGTAAGATCCATCACGCATCAAACGGAACATCTGCAAAACTTTTGAATACACAGTTGTAAAAGCCTCTCTTGAATAAGTCAAAATGCTCTTCATACTGGGTTCCAGATGATGGCCCAGCAACCTGCGCTCCATCGGAGTGAATGAGATTTTCACGCACCTCCCTGCCCAGGTCAAAAGTGTAGACTTGCAGCTGTGAGATCCATACATGAAAGCATCCATGGGAGACAATGACTCTCCAAGAAACTCTCTGAGCCAGTACGTCGCCTCTGACGCGCTCATTGGACTCTCCGTCCAGCAACTTGCTCTTTCAGAAAAGCTCGGCAAAATGAAGTCCTGATATTCGAGGCCTTCCAACATACGGGCTGTCACCCCCATCAGCACCCCAGTCCACACCATTGACACCAGAGCCCAGCGCCACATAAGGCAAGTACCTCGTGCGCGCTTCTGCACTGACAGCCGTCTTGGATGCCAGGGCGTCGGCATGAACCAAAGTCTCACCATGCCCTTGCTCCACCCACAGCATCTTGACTCTCTGTGAGTCCCGCCATCGACAGCAGGAGTGCACACAAAATAGGAGTTGGCCCAATATGCACTTCATACTGTTTGGAAGGGTATGGTACAGATCCTCCAAAAACCTCACATTCTCCATAGTCAAGGGATACTTCTGTTCCAGAGGGTTTTTCCTGAGGGACATGTCTTTTGCAACGCCCTTGCCACGCCCTGATATGACAGTTCGAAGATCAATCAAAACCAATCTTGCCGTCGCATCCAAAAAATGCAAAGCTTCCAACATATGTTGTGCAGTCGTGGCCCCTGATCCACTCTCCCGCAAATCACACAAAGCTCTGTATAGGGCCTCTTCTGTGACCCTCAGGAGGTTCAAGAAGCCACCAGTTCTGAGCAGCCGTCCCAAACGCCACAAGGAACTTGCCCGCTTCTACAAAGTCGAAGAAGCCTTCATCCTGAAGCAATCCCCAATCGACTGAAGTGCAACCTCATGACTGCAACCTGCCTGCAAAATGTTGTGAACACTTGTACCCAACTGCGTAGCCAACGGGTCTTGTAATATGATGTCTCTGAGGTTGGCAGTGCAACCCGTCTGAGGTCTTCGTCAGGCATTTCCCGTCGCACCTTTCTGAGGTTGATGCTGACTACAGGTGTAGTTGTCACCACATACGGTGCAGCATCAGCATGCTCAGAAACAACCCTCGACTGTAAAACATCCATGCAACCAAAAAGTGAAGGTTTGAACATGTCGTCAAGGTTTGAAACAGCAGTTCCACTCCACTTGTCAGCAACACCAAATACTGTACTGAATGGAGACTGTTCCCAAGGCATCTTTGTCCTGTCCAACCTCTGACGCTTGCTCTGAGCAGCCAAAGCACAATGTTGCCATACAGATTCAACTCCCAAAGGGTCTGTGACATCAGGTCCATGTTGAAAAACAGCGGCTTCATTCACAGGTGACTCAGGCTCATACAATTCAGATTCTTCTCTGGCTAAACCTTCATGGATAAGCGCCCAACCGTCGACGCAGTCTGAATCGCCAGGAACTCCAAACAAGTCCAGTCCAGGTGAAGGAAACTCCGGTAAATTGGCATTTGCATCAAAATCCTGTTCTGAGGAGCCCACCTGTGAAGCAGCTGCAACGGACCCCAAATCAGTCCATCGTCTGCGGAAACCTCGCAACTCCATCAATCATTGAAAAAGGGCAGATACTGTGTTAGCAAAGTAGCATCCAGCAAATGAAGGCCACACCTGTCCAAAATCCAGTGAGAAAACCACGAGCAAAAACAGGAAATTGAAACTTCTTCTCAGCCTCAAGTGCCGCTATCAATGCTTTACCCTTAAGAGTAGGGTCACCACTGCAACTCCATGGCATCTACCCCCGACTCTACAGTTTTCTGCCGTTCCAAAGTTTTATGGAACCCGCCCACCACCCTTAATCCAAAGTTGCTACAACATTGACATTGAGTCCTCAAGATATTCAGGTGGTGAAAATAAGAAACAACTTGTCAAGATCTCAGATATGGTGTTAAAACATTGACTTAAAAATTTTGATGACAGCAGCTCTTCAAAAATAAACTCTGACAAAAAACCCTTCCACAGAGATAACCAAACCATTCAGCGCCTGCAACGGCTGGTTTCAGATAAACCACAGGGAAATAAAGATTTGGTTTGGGTTTCTCTTGTTTGGGTTTTGGTTTCCAGAGTTTAAGGGCCAAAGTTTCCAGCGCTTGCGCATTTACTTAACCGGTCAAATATCATAAACGGGTATATGAGCTTCGCGCAGAGACGCGGGGACATGGGAGTATATATAGGAGAGGTCAATTGCACATATATATACAGACCGGGCTCTGTAGAGCCCTGTTTAGTACTACGGAGAGAAAGTGTCGTCTGCAAGCAGAAGTAACCATCAGCATTTGGTGGGTGTTGTCCTGAAACCATCCAGAAACCATCCTCCATATTCCTCCACGATGTTCCATCAAGCTGTGGCATATCCATCGTTCGATCAAACCAATTGTGCACCTTCTTGGCAATCAAGACTGCCAGATAAAGATCCACAATTATGCCAAGCCTTTGTGGATGGCAGGTGCCACGAACCGTTCGGCACGTAAGAGGCACAGCAAAAGACCAAAAAACAATCAGCGATCATTTGCTACGTCTTCGATCACTTTTAGTTGGTCCCTGGTATGTACATGTATAGTTCCCTTGTTCAGATCTCTGATGAAAGCATTTGTGGCATGGACTTCCATTCCGCCTTGCAAAAAGACTGGGCTTCAAACATTGCGATTAACACCAAACCTGAAGTTTCGTTGGTCCTCACATTGGTCCATGGTCCATGGCCCAGCACGCATTTCCAAGGTCTTGACCCCCCACCGTCACCACAAACTCACGGTGGTTTGAAAGGCCTCGGGAATTCGCTGGAGGCATGGCTAGTTTTGTGACGCAAGTGTTGCCCTGCACTTGCACATCATTCTGTTCTGAGCTGCTGGCCAATCACATTCTTTAGCCACTTGCCTTGCGATATCAGTAAGGAAAACAAACAATAATGAAACGATATCAATGGTGTATATATATATATATTACATACGTAATTATACGTATGTATATGATATATGTGATACATGTGTGCGTACGTATGATAATTTGGCAATTTATATGATGTCCATCAGTATCAATGATATCAAGTTCACATTCACAAAGGAGCAAGGCAAAAACCATCAGTCCCTTGCCATGAGGCGTCGATTGCAATCAGGGGCACAATAGTGGTCATAGCGCCGGATCGGGCGGGGATATTGCCATGACCTCACGGTTCCGACAAGTTCAAGGTGCATCGCTACTGAAAACCCAGAACTCCTTTCCTTCCACTCTCGGCTGAGGGCAATGCTTATGCGCACCGCGGCATCCCCTGACCAATAGTGACAATATGCAACGATTTGATGCGATTTCTGACTTCTAATTCTGCGTGAAGGTTAGCCTGGGGCCTCCTCAATGTCCATGGCACCAACTTTGGTGTTGCGGGTCTTTTTGACCTGCCCGGGATCTGTGAAGGCACAGTACCTGACAGGTCAACGTAGCAATACTGTGACCATGATGCCTTCCCAGCTATGTTGAACCAAGGCACCCCATGCAACCCATCACAACGACATAAAGCACTGCAAAGCTCGCAGATAGATACACCTGAAGCCAGAAAAGAAAAGCATGTGAAAAAGATGAGAAACCGTTCCATGACATGCAGCTATAAAGTATATAGCCTGGTCCAAGATGGTGGGCCACTGGAGCTCCAATTCAGCCCTTATGAGTGCCAAAATTTTCATTGAAGGAGAGGTGCTATTGGCCTAGATTGCGCTCGGAGAGGTGCTATTGGCCTAGATTGCGCTCATTCGAGCGGCATCATTGTCCTTCCACTCAATGACCCTTCTACTTTGAAGTTCTCGACGTAGGCAAAGCCTGACAGAAACCAAAGCCCATAGTTCCACTTGCGAAATGATTTGGTCGCCTGCGGTTTTGATCCAGTGTTCAACTAGTGCTTGAGGGACTGCCACCACATATGCTAGTCTCGAAGAACTGTTGATCACATCAGCACCAGCAGTGGCCTTACCATTTCGTACGCTCCATCAGTGAAAATCAGGATAGGGTGACATTGCTCTGACATGGCGAGTGCCCTGGGTTTTTGCCCGCGCAGCATTGCCCATGTAAAAGCTGACAGCAAAATTAAGACGACCCTGTATCTCACTGGCCCTTGCTGACGTCAGAGTTCGAGACGTCTCAACCTCCTCCAACATCTTTCCGTGCTTTTCAACGCGGCTGACTTTGTCGGAAATTGTGAGAGTTCCCAGTGACAGCTGGTCAAGCACAGAAGTAATTCCAAGGAGGTCGAAAACGTTGTCGAAGTTGATTGCCTTGTCTCCTCTCCATTGTCGGCACGCTCGGGCATCCTGAAGCGCGCATTATTTCAATAACCATTGCTGCAGCGTAGTCCACATCTTGCAAGAGACCCTTTTCAACTTCGCCAGCTGTAGCATTAATCAAGGCAGACTCTTCCAACTGAGTCAAGCATCGTGACCCAGACCTGATGCCCTGTTGCCGCCACATGGCCGTTTGGAAGAAAAGTTCGTCCTCAGTCATGCTTGCTGGCACTAACTGCTTTTGGCATCCATTGGGCGAAGGTTGCAACCCCACTAGATGAATTCCGTGCTTCAAGAGGTTGACAACATCCATGTCCCAAAAGTCAAAGTGCAAAAGGAGGCGCTCAAACAACACAATGTTTTTGGTCTGAACGCATCTACGCACGTCGGGATGCATGGAAGCCTTCAGCTCGTTTTCAGCAGCGCCCAGCTCAGTTGACATTTTCCGCGTCTTGAAGACCGCTGCTAGCCTCTCTTTGGCCAGCTTTGTTGGGCACGTATTGACCACCTTTTGGACTGCTTGCTTTGTGACAGGGTGCAGCGCTGACTCATTGTCCATAGGGTGGCAAAAATCCATTGCCTTCTTCAAAAATTCTTCAGGGCTGTGCCAAACACCGTACTTGAAAGTTATTCTGGGCCTTTTGCACGGAAACACCTGGTCATCAAGTTGCTCAACCTGGTCATCAAGCTGCTCAGCCTGGTCATCAAGCTGCTCAGTTGTTTCTGCCCCTTGTGAGGAGGAGCAGCTAGTAGTCTTGGCTATCTGCAAAACGCAATCAGCCATTTTGTTGCCTAGCAAGGCATGGTATGCTGCCTCTGCTGCTGTAGGGAAAACAATTCCTTGTTCAGTTTTGTAAGGCTGCCAAGAAGCATGAACATGGTTTTGGGGACGGCTGGCCTCCAAGGTTGTAAAAAAAACACGTGGGCAAGCGGTTTGCTCCTTTTGTCTCTGGCACTTCCATGGGCACAAGCATCAAAGTAAACGCTCTCGACGTCGACAAGCCAGTGGATGAAGTCAACATTCTGAGTTCCGTTGACAAGTAGTGCCAAAAGAAGCCACAACCAGGACCTTGCTGGGCTTTTGATTGATACCAGGCAGCCCGAAATCATGCAAACTTGTGAAAGGTGAATGGCGCACTTGTACAACTTGTTGGCAAGGTCTACTTTCAATTGGTCAACTTCCTTCAAGTTTGGTAGGCCAAGTAGGTGATCGGTGTCTCGCAGCAGCGGTGGACCCATGTGGTCACGAAATTTTTCTGGCCGTCATCGATTGTGAAATTGGGTTCGGTCCCAATGTGAACGATGTTACACCCTGCGATTGTCCTAGTAAGAGACAGAAAAGACAGGTGAGGGAGGGAGGGAAAGCAAAAACAGAAGAGTACAAATGAAAGTCCTTGAGCCAAAATGGAAATTAGCAACAAAGAAGTTCCTTGTAAAACACAATGAACAAGTACATTGAACGGATGCAGCTAAACAGACGCGGTGCACACTTGCAACCGGTCAACCATGCACAACATGAACAACACCTAGCTGTCACCTGGAGCAATGTAGAACAAACCATCCAATTCTCACAAAAGAAGCAAAAACCAGAACACACAAGACGAAAAGTTTCAACACTACATCATCATCATCATCATCATCCTCATCCTCATCCTCATCATCATCATCAGCACCATCAATCTCATCATCATCATCATCATCCTCATCCTCATCCTCATCATCATCATCACACCATCATCTACATCTATCTCACCTACATTATCTACATCACCTACACTCTGTATTCATCTACAACACATACATTACCTACATCATCATCTACGTCACTACATCCTCTACATCGCCCATATCACCTACATCTTCTGCACCATCATCATCACCATCATCATCATCACCTACCTCACCTACACCATCTACATCACCTACACAAACCTTTACCATCAACGTCATCTACATGACATGTATCATCTACAACACATACATCACCTACATCATGATCTATATCACCACATCCTCTACATCTACAACATAGACAGCATCATCTACATCGGCTACAGGTGACACACTTCTAGGTAGCTCCTACAAAACATGAACAATGTCTTTTTCACAGAAATTGACTTGCAGGTAATCCACTTCTAAGTGAACTCCTACAAAACTCCTGCAAGGTCATTTGCACAGAAATTGTTGGACAGGAGTTGTTACACAGGAGTTCAGCTAACTTCCAGGTGATCAATCACTCAAACACCCCACAGCTTCCATCTTAACCCCAACAAACTATCCCCAAAACCTAAAGACTTAAGCAGGGTTCCCAGCCCAACCACACGCGGCATTGGCGACAAAAGTTATGTTGGCTCAGGTGCCAGGCCACAGGGCACCCTGGGCCTGGCACCTGGCTGAATCACCCCAAAGCATCAGCCGTCGCCAATGCTGTCCGCTTCCAAACACTTCCCAAACGTCAGCGCGGACGAGAAATGTTGGCAAAACAGTTTGCCGGAAAATGTGCAAGGGGCGCTTGCCCAAAATAAAGAACAAGGGAATCCTTCCCGACGGCTGTAGAGACTTTCTGCGCATCACTGCGTCGTCTTGGCGACAAGAAATGCAGCCAAGTTCAACAAATGATGCCAATCAGGCTGCAATTTCTTACTGATATCCAAATCCCGCCAGAACTCAGGGTTCACAATTGGCCCGCGGGACAATGCGTCAGCCCAGACATTTCTCTACCCTGCTACATGAGTAATTTTCAGCTGCAGGCGATGCTCAGCTGCATATAGTGCTGCAGATTGAAGCACACCAGCAAGCGGCTGGCGCAAAGATAGGCCCTTCTGCGACACGCAAACCACCCCGGCGTTGTCGCAAAACTGACGCAAGCTAATCCAAGCAAAAATGCTGTGCATCTGAATCACTCGTCGCTGGCAATCCAACAAGACTAGCTGTGCCAAAGCCTCTAACACCGCGATATAAGCCTGCAAATCCTTGCCTGGTCTGGTGAACCATCTTGGCAATTCACTGTGTTGAAGCTGATATGTGAAATAATAAATGTTGGATGGGTGTAGCGCAGCACCTGGTAGCAAAAACCAGCCTCCAATGCCGAACCGACCATCCTCAGCAAAAGCATCTGCAGCTGCTACTGATACTGGGCCCGGTTTCTCCACCAGCGGGATGGGATCTGAACATGGGAGCAGGCCTTTGAAAAAACGTGCCACAGCTAACTCCTCTTGGCTGAACTTGATGATTTTTGGCTCTGGCTCTCCAAATTTCACCCAGACACGACCTTGCTTTAGCGGAGGTGACAACACATCGTTGGCAGATCGGACGCCCGAGCCAGCTAACTCCAACACGCGCCAACCTGACTGTGCATCGCAATGTCTACAAGCACGGACTACTTTACCAGCTTTGTCGATAGCACCATGAAGCTCGCTGAGCTGAACCATGTCAAGCTGTAAAAAATGCAGCCCAGGCTTGTGTAGTGCATGGTTTCTAACACTCTCAAGTTGGTATAAAAGGGTGACGTAAAAGAAAGGGGAAGTGCATAAGTATGGTTGTGTTAATATAAGATTATATCATGCGCCGCGTGTCATGTGTGCCGCTCGGGTATACGCGTAAACTGAACTAAACCCTCCCTCACATGAAATAAACTCAAAATCACAGCACTGCAATTCCGGAAAGAAAAATCGATCACTGAACATCGGACATGCAGCTTCGCACTTTCTTTTTCACCGGCGAGTCGGGGGAGATACCGATCTTTGTTTGCATATCATTTAGTTCCTTCACGTCGACAAGCCACACATGTATTCACGTGGGTCGACTCACAAACTCGGCAAACTGGATTAAAGGCTTATTTCTTCCCCCATTGTTTCAGCCGCCACGGAGCCATCACAAAGCTTCGAATTTCACGAGCTCTGCCAATTCAACATCAAACTGGTCCCTTCGGAGAAAGTTCAGAACATAGGCAGGCAGCTGAATGTTACCACAGTCGGTGGCGTGAAGTAACTTGCCAAGCTCAGCCGACTTCCCTCGGGACGGTAGGTCAGCAGGGTTGGATGCGCTCAGCACCCGGTCACACCAAACGCTAAAGGGTAACACTACATCCAACAAGCTCAGCAAGGATACCATCAAGAACATTGCATGGGAAGGCGAGTTCCTTTTGATCAGAGTCATCCGGCTGGACTCATTGTCAATGAAAGCGATCCCATAACGATTGTTCAGTTCTTTCCGCAAGTGCCACCTGACGCATATACAAGCAAACAATTCAATTTCACAAATCAATTGTTCTCCAACTGTTGCTGCCCAGTATGAAGTCAACACAGCCGGAACTTCTCCTGCAAAGACCAATCTCTTACCAGTCAGTGGGTCATAGACCAACGCTCCCCAAGTGCCTCTTCCGTCCTCATAAGCTCCGTCGGTATAAATAATCCACGGAAGGTCAGAGTCATGAAGGCGTATGCGCCGGGGCTGCACTGACTTGGCAACAGCTAGCAAATAGTCGCAAACCGTTCGAACATCAGAAGTGGAAACATTGTGGTTGTACGCCCAAGCGTTCAAGGCATGAGATCCCAACTTGAAGTGGTGGCCTAATACAAATCCTCCTGCAAAGTTCATCAGTCCAGCCAATGAAGCAATAAGGGATTTCGATTTCCCGTCGCCTTCCTTCACCAGTGTTATCATTTCAACAATCCTCTCAAGCCGACCCGGTTTGTTCTGCACCACCAGATCGCCAGTTCTGATGTTTTCCAAATTGAATTGTGCCCCCAGAGCAACAGGAAGGCTGCAAAAATCTACAGCCTTCTTGCCCTGCACAGCGTGTCGCCAGCCTAGAACATTCAAGAAGGCATCGACTATCTTTGACGTCAAAGCAGCCAGGGGTTGAACTTCAAAAACCGGATAGTCGTCATAGAAAACACTGGTGAGGAATCCAAATTTGTGAACCAGCAAATGCCAAATGCCCCTGCTGATCTTGTTGAACGAATAGACCGAGGCTGATGCCCCAAAAGGCAGCGAACACGTGGTGTACATTTGCCAACTACCCTTCTGGGTATTGAACCCCAGAACACCATGTCGCAGCGATTGTTTATGTATCGCCACCTGTTTGTAGGCTTTGCTGAGATCTATGCATCTCCCAACCCAGGTTGGACCAGCACTCATAGTTGGGTGCCAAGCGCCCACCAACACTTCGCCATCGCTAAGTTGGACTACCACTTGGTCTCACCTGGACAGCACCACCATGACAAAACGCAAAAAGCCTACAATGAAGTCAGTGTCCTGCAGTGCCAGGTAAGAGGAGGAGGAGAACGCTGCATTTACACCAGAATCCTTGTAATTGTCTATGACTCGGCTTTTCCTCTTCACCTTGATATAAACAGAACCGTCGGGTCAAGCTCCAGCTGTCGGTGCCCAACTTCGAGTTTATTTGTTCTTCCGTGAAGGGTCCTTCCAAGAAACCTGCCTCCACCTCTTCCTGGCTCTCTCTCACCAGATCAAGTTCTTGCTCACTTTCTTCTGCTGTAATGGCCTTACCCATCATGGCCCTGCGCTTCCAAACTGCCTGGTGATCCAACTGTTCTACTGTCATGACTGCAGGCGCATATTTCTTGTAGTATAGGGGAGACTCAGCCTCCTGTCCAGTCAAGGGCACCCCTTGTTCCATGAAACTGCAAACATTCATGTCCGGAAACTAGGTCTCCGTCAAAAGCCGCCTCCAAAGCACCAGCGCCTTGTCTTTTGTGACCGTGTTAACATGGGCCTCCATGCCATCTCGCAACTGCCGCTCTTCTGAAGCTAGTGCCAATTTGAGTTTCATCACCTCTTTCAAAATTGCAATTCTTTGTTGCGCTATCTCATGGATTCCCAGGGTGCACAGTCTGAATAAATTCCTTCTCAAAACATCAGGTACCACATTGAACTGCAATGCCGGGTGCCTGAGGTGCAATGCTCTGTCAAAGTGCTCTTCCGGTGAAAAGTAACACCCAATTTTATATCGGTCACTCTCGTTGCTCCCACCACCAACTGCACAGCCTTTGTCGTTGTTGCCCCCAGTGTGGTTGAAAGGCTGTGCCAAAACTTAGGATTCTTTCAGCGCAGCACAAAGAAAATCCCACGTAAACAATACCATGCATCAAGTGGCAATTAGGAATCACAAACAAAGAGCTTGCTCAAACCCTTTCAAACATCCAAACTGAAGATGCATAACTAAGCCCAAAAGAAAACCAACAGCCTTGCCTACTAACCACAGAGCTAACTCAAGCGCACGCAACTTTTCATCATCATTGGTGGAGCAAAAGATCACCATAACCCCACAGGCTGATACCAGCCCCTGGACATTTCCCCAAACCCCACAAGCTGATGCCAGCCCATGGTCTAAGGTCGAGGCGAGGATACCTCCCCCCAGCAATACTACTGCAGGGAGGGCGGGTGGAGAAAACAAAAAACCTCAAAGACCTTGAGCAAGCACAGCCCAACAGTAGTCGTATAAATAACAAAGCCAGGCAACTGCCCAACTTTCAAAAGAGCAACTGGTATGCACAAAAACAATCACACAGAACACACAAACACTTCCCTAGCAAGTGGCAGCTAGTGCGAATCCTACTTAGTTGCTCACAAGTGATCACTACGCAGGATTCTTTCAGCGCAGCACAAAGAAAAATCCCACGTAAACAATACCATGCATCAAGTGGCAATTAGGAATCACAAACAAAGAGCTTGCTCAAACCCTTTCAAACATCCAAACTGAAGATGCATAACTAAGCCCAAAAGAAAACCAACAGCCTTGCCTACTAACCACAGAGCTAACTCAAGCGCACGCAACTTTTCATCATCATTGGTGGAGCAAAAGATCACCATAACCCCACAGGCTGATACCAGCCCCTGGACATTTCCCCAAACCCCACAAGCTGATGCCAGCCCATGGTCTAAGGTCGAGGCGAGGATACCTCCCCACCGCAAGGCGATCGAGACCTGCCCCCCTAATCTTGCGCGCGCTTTTTTTTCAAGCTCTTCAACCCCAAGGCTCCTTGGTTTTAAGAGGCTGACTCTTGGGCAGCTTCTTTATAAATTTTCCTTTCTTGGCTTCCTTGATCTCATCATACGGGTTGGCTCCTTCCGCCAGCATCTGGTGAAGGACAACCCCCTGGAAGGTCTGCAGATCAAAACGGCGCCGCAACGCAGGGTCAAAACCTGCGTGCACTCCATTGCTAAGCGCGTCCGCTTCTTCATTCTGCAGCCTCGGTATCCAGTGGAGCCACAGCTCAGCTCCAGAGCGCTGCAATTGGATGGCAAGCTCCATCAAGAAGGCACACAAAGGGAACTTGGTGGTCATCCATCTTTTTACTACCTGTGCATTACCTTTGTTGTCAGTTGAGGCCGAACATCTCACACGCCCAGCCGCTTGCACAGGTAAACCAAAGACTACCACAGCGGCAAGTGTCGCAAGCAGCTCGAGTGAAGCAATCTGCCGATAAGACTCGCCACTGCAAAACAACCACGGCGCAGAAGTATGGTCTAGCCTTTCAGAGAACCAGCGGCAACGGCGGGTGTCATTGTGATCCAATGCCCAGCCGCCGATCCACACCTCATCCCCTTCAGCACGGGCATCTGTGCGGTAGAGCTCCCGCTCTTCACTCACTTTCCTCCCAAGCGCCTGAAGCCGTCCATCTCCGTCCAATGCTGTGCACAAGAAGCTAAAAATCAGCTTGAATGCTTTGGGCAACCTGGCAACACGCATCTTCCCTGTCACAGCTGCAACCCACGCATATATGGGTCCCAAGAAAGGTCTTAAATGTCCCAATGCTGTTAACGCAAATGACAAGCGACCCAACACCGCCGACATATCTGCAACTTGCACCTGACCTTCATTGCACGCTTGCCGAAGCCAACCCACCAGCCATTGTGATCTTCGCTCGCTGATCCCTAGCTTGCATCCGTCTAGACAGATTTGAAATCCAACCCATTCAAATTGCAATCCTCCATGAAATTTATGCCACGCAAAAGGCAATCCCAGGATTTGCAAGAAATAGATGGACAGCACGATCAATTCTAGGCCTTTGCAGTCTCTGGTGAGCCACAGCAAATCATCTACGTACGCTAACAGAAAAATCTCTGCTTGCCCAAGCAAATAATACACTGCCCTTCCTACTCCACCAAGCAAGCGGCTCCAGTGGTATGCAGCAGAAGCAATGCCGAACGCACCGACCTTGTTCAACCACAAGGCGTCGCTGTTGCCGATGCCCGTTCGGCACGCCAAAAGTCCCCAATCCTCACGCGCGATCTTGACCAGTCTATGTGCACGTGCTACATCACCAGTGAGCCCAAAGAAGACTCCGGGCAATTCCTGCATGACTGCCGCCACGTCACCCGCTGTTGGTGACTGAATTTGGTCTCGCACTGGGATTGCAGGATTCACGCCTATCCCATGTGTGCCGTCATGCACCACTCTATAAGCACCTCCCTTTTTCTCAATTGCCCCAAGTGAAGCCACGGCAAGCTGCTGTCCATATTCTCTCTGCGCCTCCTCGAGCGGTACCTCAATCATGGCTCCCAATTTCTCTTCTTCCAAGAATTGCTGATGCACATGCTCGGCGTGTTGTCGCGCAGACAAATAATTCTCGCGGCAGACCCCAAGCTCAAAATCACCCAGCGCATACTTTCGCCATCTGTTCTTACGGTTGAAAACAGCAGGTACACGCGGCAGTTTTGATTTATAGCCAACTTTGACACCCTTGGCAAAGGAATATTTGCTAGAGTAAAATGCTCTGCAGTCCGGGTCCCCAGAAATCCGCAGCAATTCTTCAATCGCAGCAAGAAAGAACGGCTGGTCCTCTGGCGTCTCTCTGACTGGTAGCTTGCATCCAGCCATTTCCAAAGCGGTGAAAAGAAGTTCGCGACCATCCTGAATCAGCTCATCTGAAAATGGACAATTATGCAAAGTACCTGTAGCAAGTTTGAAAGCAAGCGCACGTGCATCCAACTTTTGCGCCAAGAGTTTGCGCAACTCCTTGCCCAAGCTCTTTGCAAATCCAAGCGATGATGTGTCTGCTGCACATCTTCTTTTTGAAGGTGGCCAGCGCCCAGGGGAGCACAAGCCGAACCCATCGGTGAATTCCATCCTTTTCCCAAGCATGCGTGACACCAACGGTGGCCCTCGCCCCCATAAACCAGCTCCAAGCTTTGGCTTTTGCACTTTGTCGTCATCTTCATCTGAAGACACTTCTGATTCTGCTAGACCTTCCGAATCTTGCTGCAAGTTGCTCTGCCGCAGCCATTCAGCATCATCTTCTGTCTCGGACTCACGGGTCCTCTTCACAAGGCTTGCCTCATGGGAGCATGTACCTACAGTACCTGAACACGTGACAGCACTTGGGCCGCTGCTTGCAACACTCATCCCCACCAAAGGCAAAGCAGCGGACTTGTCAAGAACGTCTAGTCATTCAACGGCACCTTCACGCTGCACCTGGGGGCACTTGACGTAAGGATGATCTTCGAAGCAGCGCTGGCAAACATGAGTAAAGGGACAATTCGCACGGTCACAGCCTTTCTTCTTGTTGTACGCAAAGCACAAACTTTTCCCGCCCGGGCTACGGCGGCTCTTGTAGATTGACTTGATGACTCCTTCTTTCCCTTTGCCTTTTCCCTTGCCCTTTGAACGAATGAAAGGGTTGTGATCGCCCACCGGCCGGCCCCCAGCGCTTACAGCTGTGCTGGCCGGAGCGGCGGCAGCAATGGTCAGCGGCACAATGAAGAAAGAGCTGGTGAGGTCTGATGCCTTGCAAGCTGCTGACAATGCCATGCCCAAATCGGCTGCCTCGCCGTCACGCACCAACTTGTAAGCGTGGCTACGCACCTCTGCCTCATAAGCCAAAACAATGTTCCAAGGTGGGCTGTAGCCATCAGCCAGGCGCAACCCGGCAATCTTGGAGCCGAGCACATGGTCAGACAGCTTGCGGAACGCGTCCACACAACGACTTGGCAGCCATGTACGGTTGGTGTGGCGGCTCCTGGCCATTTCCCACGCCAAGCCAATGCGCCGGTGACGTAAGCGCAAGTCTTCCGGAGAACTGGGAGGAGTTGTCATTGCCTTGCCTGGCTTGAACCGCACCGTGTTGGAAATCGGGTCGGCAATCAAAGCCGAGTACGCTTCCTTGCGACAATCTTCCACAGAGGTCACTTCTCGTAAGTCCTCAGCCTCCGGGCAGTTGTCTTCTACCTGCTCAAGCTTCTGCGCGAGCAGCGCCTTGGATGGGATTTCTTTGTCGCATAGCTTGCCATGGGATGCTTCCACCGCGAAGCGCATTGATGCATGTTCTGTGGTGGGCAACAATCTCGCGCCTACACCTAGCTTGGCCTCCGATTTTTGTTTCTCTTGCACTGACAACTGTAAGCGGCAAGCATCCCAAACATGGAGGAGCAAGGCCATGCTTTTGCGGTTCTCGGGGCTTGCTGTGTAGTCTAAAGGCAATTCCTCCCGCAACGCTTTGCGGACCGCTTCTTTGCTATCATCCAAGCCGGCAAACACACGCACAGAGTCATAGCCACATTTTAATACCAGAACTTGCACCGGTGCGGGGACGCCAGCATCATCCAGCAGGAATTTCAATTCCGATTCCGCCTGTGCTAAAAGATCCAGATCCGACTTCTCCATGATGAAGACCTGCCAAAACAAGACACATATGTATACTTGAAAGGCAATGCTCAAATTACAGAATTCGTTGACGAGCCATCCGGCCCCTCAACTCCCTACCAGACCTGGAGGGATGAAATGCTCAGCAGAAGCCGACCCAAAATTCTTACTGCGCGCACAACCGCTAGAGCCACTCTCCGGCGGACACGCATCCATTCAGGTCTCTGCTGGCCATGCGTGAGAGTCGTCACGTATATTCTGTTTAACCTATAGGAGGCATACGCAACCTAGCATCTTCTGTCGAATTTGCTTCACTACTAGGAGACATACGTAACCCAGCAAAGAGCAGCTATTGCCAAGGACATGACAATATTACGAACCAGCCCACACGTCGACACGTACCGGCTGAATTGTGGAACCAAGGGGGGGGAAGAGAAGCGCTTGATCCGGCTGGTTGCAGCCTTTATTCAGAATCAGTCAAGCTTTCACTGCTGGAAGATGCATCGAGGCCGCTGCTGCTGCTGCTGGATGACTCCACTGGATGGGAGCCATGGCGCCAACAATGCTTGCAAGCGAAATGGTACTCGGCGCCTTCCAAGCTCCAGAGGGGGATCATTTCCCGGACTTCACCAGCCGAGGTGGGGCACCCGCCCCTTCTGTGCAGCCGTCGCAGCTGACGCTTTCCAACAACGGATACGAAGAAAGGAGCGGACTCTGCGGCATCCCTTTCACCCAATGCTGTAGAGGGCTGATGCATATCCAGTGCATCGTCGCCAGGCACCACGCCATCTAACTGGCAAGCAGGCAGAACTTGGGCAGATTTTGAAAGCGCGTAGCGTAAATCTGAAAGCTCTGCATCACAAAAACTACAAGTTTTGCGCAAGTGGGAAAGCAACTCCTCAATGCCAAAATTTAGGAGATCACCAGAAACGTCCTCGCGCAGACCTTGAACTGCTTTAGCTTGCAAGCGCATCACAATCACCCGGGCTGTCCGGATGTATTCATCGCTTGAGGATGAAGCGCGCCAGCGCCCCAGGAAGTCCCGCTGGTCCGGCGGCACTTCCATGGCTGCAAGCAAAGAAATGAGCCAATTACGTTCTGAATGTTCTGTCCAAAAAGAAACTGCATCAGGCGAATTGAAAAGGTATTGGTCGGAAAACTGCCTGTTGCCATCCACACAAACCAAGGTACGCAGAGATCGCCACAAAGATTTTGACATAGTCACGACCTGATTATAAGATGCCATGGCCTGCCGGCAAGCCGACCCGTCGCCTGTTGGAAGAGGCAGAAAATAATCTCGGTCAAAAGCCATACCCTCGGATTGCCAAAGCTGAAAACCAATTTCAAGCCAATCAGGTTTTACCAAGTACGCTCTGCGGCTCACGAAAATGGGAAGAAACCTGACCCGCCTGGCCCACTGGTCTTGGTCCGGTCCAGGCGGCCCTCTAAACCAGCAACAGATAGAAATAGAGAGGATGGATTCAAACCTTCAAAATCGGAATGCCGCCCTGCGGCCCACAATTTGAGCAATTTGTAGAAAGCAAAGCCACGGATGTACTGGCCCGCAGCCGCATCGCAGACAGTTACTTCCAATGCAGCAACGATTGCAAGTGGGAGCGCGGGAGCCTGGTGCTTTGGGGGGGCGCCATGCTGAAGGTCCATGGTGAGCTGGTTCACTGTATTGCGCACAACGGGCAACTCCGACAAGCGATCACTAACAGCTACGCCACCAACCTTTTCAATGAAAGCTAGAGACTGCAAGATAGCACCTGGCACTGATGGACCACATGGTTCACATCGCCGCTCTTCTAAGTAGCTGAGAATTACTCCCACGTGCTGCGGCCAGTTGCTATCCGACGTTGCTTTGCTGTAAGCTTTAATCCTGCGGGCTTCTCTGAAATGTTTCCGCAAAGTAGCACTACGCACAGTACCTAGAGCATTGGCAAGGGCATTGTCTGGGTTGGAAGAAAGAAGCACATGCTGAACCACCGGCATGCCAAGTTCACGCAGAAAAACACTCAGCGAAGCTCTCCAGCGCATTAGCTCCTTCTTTTCCTGCTCTGCTCGAGGCAACAGAGCCTTTTGTGTGCCGGGCCGACACTTGGTCAATCCCCGCCGGATAGCCCCTGAAGACTTCAGCAGCCAAACGCGATCCGGAATGACCAGAGGCTGGGCCCCCCGAGCACACTTGGATTGTATCGCCAAAGCTTGCTGCTCCGGAAACATGGACGCTCGACGCTTCTGGCGTCGCGCAGATGGGTTGATCGCTTGTTGCTGTAATAGGAGCAAAGCTTGGACCATTTCGCATGGGACAGGCTCCTCAACTCCCAACTGGCACAGGCAAAGTCGCAGATCGGACTCGTCTGCAAACAAATCCGCCAGCACTTCGCATGGAGGAGGAGCACCCGTGTCATCGCCCAAGCCCAACCGCACGCGCTTGGGCAATGAAGCCCAAAGCGCGGAAGAGTTTGCACTCTCCATAACAGCAAGAAGGAAGAAAACAAAAACCTCAAAGACCTTGAGCAAGCACAGCCCAACAGTAGTCGTATAAATAACAAAGCCAGGCAACTGCCCAACTTTCAAAAGAGCAACTGGTATGCACAAAAACAATCACACAGAACACACAAACACTTCCCTAGCAAGTGGCAGCTAGTGCGAATCCTACTTAGTTGCTCACAAGTGATCACTACGCTAAAGTTGCCAGTTAATGGCAACTCATCCATGAAAGAAACCCGGCTGTACTCGGGGATGAGCTGCTCACCCAACTTGTGTTGTTTGTCGGCTTGCTGCAAAAGGTCCAGACGGAAACGGCGGATTGTTTGTTGAAAAAGGTGTGGCGGCAACTTAGCCACTACTGCCGCTACCATTCTTTCTGCAAGCACGCGCGGATACTCCGCCTCCGCAGCTGTATTAAAAATCCATTGCGGTCCCAAACGTTGGACCTTCCAGTTTGCATGGGTGTGCGTGCCATCACATTGACCACCCAGGTGTTCAAAAATACCTGGTGTCCCTTTCAGTCTCGTGGTTTTGCAAAATTGCTGCCGTGCTGACACGCGTCAAAAGTGGTGTCAGTCAAATTGAAATACCATTGTGAGTATTCAGCATTGTTGCGGCGTTTCACCAGTAGGGCCAAAATTGCCCAAAGCCATGATCTTTCAGGGTTCTCGATGGACACCCATAATCCCAGAATAAAAATTGTGAAAAGGATCCCTTCAGCAGCCTGATACACCTGGTTCGCACCATCCACTCTGCGTTGCTCTGCTGGAGTCAAATTGTGTAGACCCATCAAATGGTCTTGGTCCCTCAGTGGCCTTGGTTGTGGGGCGCCTTTATCTCTCAATTTTTTGCTGACCGGCTTCTCCCTCGCACGTGATGCCGTTCCACATGGCAATCCCATGTGGGTCCATTGCGGCTTCATGTTGTGATACATGTCTGCTAACAGCTGACTGGACTCTGTCTTCGACAAATCCAACTGAAAAATTTTTGCC